TATATATATATATATATATATATATATATATATATATATATATATATATATGAATCTTACCGTCTTTCACGGTTGAGATATTTCTGCGCGTTGTGGTGGTCGAGTCTACAAGAAAAAAAAAAGACAACATAAATTATATTGTTTGTTTTTTTTTTTTTCCATATACAAGCATATTTTTTTTTTCTGTTGGTAAGATACATACCTGTGGTGTTAAACACTTCAGTCCCAAGTGAGGATGACATGCTCGTCAAGTTTCAGGTGGTCGTGCTTCCTGTTGTTAATGTCATTGTCACCGTTTTCCACTTGATTTTTGGTTTCTTAGTTTTCCCAATAGGAGGCATTGTCGTGGTCTGTAAGGAGGAGGAAAAAAAAGCTCTTAAACACTTTTTGTCATGGGGAGAGAGAGAAAAAAAATTAAGGGGGGTTACTTTTTTAAATACAACATGTAAAGTTATATGTACTAACCGTTCTAACGCAGACTTTCTTGTTTACCAGAACCATTGGAAACTGTTGGAAATCTTTGCTTTGGAGTGTCCCCGAGATCACTTCAATAACCCGCACATTTGGTAGGCATTTGGGACTGAGGTCTACTGCTGTAATACCTGGACTCCGAAGGATCAATCTCTCAACTCTCGTAGCAATTTCTTTCTTGAAGTCTGCGCAGGATAAATTTTTCTCGATCCTCTCACATGTTAACACCCTCTGTTTCCATAGACAAGGAAGGGATAAAACCCCCCAGAATAAAAGAAAGATGGGTAATATTTCCAGCATCAATTTTAGTGTGCATCCAAAACTAAGAGCTAAAACCGCGGGAGATGGTGCTATGTGTACGTTAAGAAGGGGTAGACAGGATGTGTGTTTGGTCATATTTTTTTTTTAAAAAGCACAAAATGAAAGGAAAAAATGATAGTAATTGAGTCATATTATCGTAAAATTTTAATATAAAGTTTTAATTTTGCCCCCCCCCCCCCACCTCAATATTCTTTTTAGTTTTTCCAACAGAGAAAAAAATTAACTTAAACACCCCTATAAACTGGTTGAGTCTAAACTAAGCATCGGGTGTGTATTAGCGGGGCTATTCCCAAGGACAAAGTTCAATATCTAAATAGGTCGTTGATGTCCCGTCCTCTAACACTCTTCTTTTGGGATAAAATGAGGTCAGACCCTGCCTGTGTTGTGTGTATGTAAAGACTGTGTTGTTCATTGCTCGGAAGCCGCGATTCGTCTCCCCTGCACTAGAATTATTAAGCAATACTTATTTATATAAAGACAGCGGATGGCTAAAATTTCTTTTATTTGAACCTTTACAACTAAATTTACTTTTTTTAAAATCAGTGTTATTTTCTACGCAATAAGTTTTACTGCAGAGAGCTACCATAGATGTGCCTATAAATTCTTCTTTAAACAAACCAGGTTCCCGTCGATCGAAAGCGGCGGCCTCAGGCGGATCCGTTCTAGGAAACCATTTTCGCTTTTCTTGATTAAAAGCATTTTTCATTTCGGGTTCAACAATGTCCGTTAATTTTTCAGCTGATATTGCCAGGTACAAAGAATCGGTATCCATGGACATTAATTCAAAATTTTCACGATTACAATATTTATCTAAACAATCATAATAAAATTCGAGCATAAGTAACTTGGCATACTGGAGAATGAAATATCCAATTTGTATTGGTAAGTCCAAGGTGATACGCGATTTTGCTAATTCAATTTCAAAATTATTATTATCAAGTTCTGTTAAATTTCTAAAACGTTTTTTAGATGCAAAATAACTAGCTTTTTCTTTTGACGCACAATAAGTTATATCTACATGTTTTTCCTTATTCATAATCATTGAGCCATATGTACTATTTCCAATATCTTTCATTGTTTCCGCAAAAATTTCAAAAGCTGCATCAGTGTCTCCGCGGCGCCGCGCATTACTTACATCCTCTCTGAAATCTTTAAAGCATGCATTGGGAGAAAATTCAATTACTTGATGGATCCGCGAAACAATCCATGATCTAGGTACCATTTCAAAAGCGGGGTAGCTAGTAAAATTTTGCGCGCGCGCATATCCCCTATTAACAAACGACGTGGGTTTTGCGTTACATTTAAACGTTTTCCAGTTTCTTGCATGTAGCTACCGAGTGTTTCAAAGGGAATCTGTGAATTAGAAAATATAGGAGACATTTCGGAAAATTTCTCGGATAGATGATCGGGAACGTGCAGATCTACTTCAATTGCACCAAAAAATTTTTCCTCGCGAATCGCAGATATTATCTCTGATTTTGTTAAAGTTAACCGATGTTCTAACGGTCGCTGACAACGTTTTTTCTCAATAAAATCTTTAAATTCAGACGAGGTATTTAACAAGTTTTCATATTCACACTCCCAAAATATTTCAATATCATATTCTTGTCTCCTTATATACTCTACACGTTCCTGTTCGCGTTTTTGATATTTCTTTCTCTCTTTTAACCATTTGGATCCGTGATGTTTCTCGTAAGAGCACGATCGTGATGATGAAAATAACAGCCATTAAATTCGTAAACTTTTTTATCGTTAGAAGAAAACCCGTCTACTAAATAAGGTCCTATTCGAAACTCTTTACCCTTATTGGAATAATGATGTATATCAACCCTCTTGTCATATCTTAACCATTCTAAATAATAAAAAGCTTTCAAATAGCGATCGCGTTTAACACAACGAAACCCGTTCTCTTCTTTTCTTACTGTAAACGGACCGCTCGGCATATTTTGTTTGAGAGCCCATAAGTAGAGCGCGTTTGCGTTATATTCAACAATTTGTTTACACGTCTTATTTTTGTTTTGACGAATAAAGGTTTTGTCGCGCTCGTGATATCTATTGAAAATAATGGCAGGCCCACCACACATTCCTTTCCGGAACACTTCATATAGATCTTTATTTTTCTTATCAAAGCATGCAAAGTGGGCATTGCCACTAGTTGACCGAAATACTAATTCCCTGGCGACCCCTGGGACACTGATGCATGTCTTAAAAAAATCGATATTTCGTGTCATGTAAAAATAAAGCATTTTAGAAACCGCTTGACAAAAAGGAAGAACATCCAAATTATTGTAATATTTTAAGTAATCTGTCATGTTACGCATGCCTTGGTCTTGCCAAATTTTAAGATGTTGATAATTTTCCTGCCCATTTTCTTTTAAACTCATCATTTTAAGAGCTGTGGAAATCGGATTTTTTTCTATTTCAGTTAATTGTTTATAACGAAAATATTCCTCTTCGAGCACATTACAATTTTTAAGCGAGGAAAAAAATGCCTCGTAGGGCGGGAGTTCCGTATGCTCGAGTTTTTCATATGTGGAACAAAATTCATATGGAAAAAATGATTTATGCAGTTCAATTTCATAGGATTTTTTAAATTTATCATACGAAAATCCTGGAGCCACAAAATTACTGATGTCTAAAAATCTAAACTGACCATTACTGATGCACATGTATTGATTAAATTTCTTTACAACAAAATGTTTCTTTGCGTTTGCGAGATTTAAACATTCGGCGAGTTTTTAATTTAATCAAATTTAGATCATACTTTGAACTGTTAAAAACCTAACACGGGAATTTCGTTTACATAGGTTTCAAGTTTTTCCTGAATGCGTTTGATGTGATTTAAAAGAGGAGTGTTGATCGCTCTTTGTCATATTCGTGGTCATCGTCGTCGTCATCGTCCGCTTCGTTTAATATTTCTTCTGATAATTCTTGTACTCTTTTTTCTCTAATGAGAGCTTTTTAAAAACATCTGAAAATCTTGCTTTCATATATTTTTGGGCAGTATTTACTCTATTAACAAACTTATTTAGCAAATTTTCTACGTTAGCATCAATTTCAAACACGGGTTCGAGATGGTTTGGTACATTTGAGCACATTGAAAAGGACACCGGCTGATGTTCATGGGTCTAAGTTAACATTTGAGTATTGGAGGGAAGTTCATCAGTAAGCAATAACGATTCGAAATCATAAGTGATAAAATACGGATAAAAGCGTAAATCGTCTTGTACCTGTATGTCTAAATATTCAAGTTCTTCAAAAATGTGTTGAGGCCGCGCATAATAACCGCCGGGATAAATGTACCTTGTAGCCTCTCTGCAGCGTTTCTCATGGCGCATAACCCGAACATGTGTTGGAAAAAGAGTTTTACAATTGCGACATTCATATTTTTTTGAATAGACATTCATTTGGGTTATATAACTTAAATGATCTTGATATAAATTTAGATTCATAGTTTCGTTATGATTACCCCTGGACCTATAAATATCGACACAAGAATCATCCTCAAATAATTGGAAAATGTTAACATTAATATCAAACGTATTTTCAAAACGAGGAATTTCGTTTAGACAGAGCCCCTTGAATTTTATTCTTTTAGAAAGTCGTTCTCCGAAATACTCTCGAAATAATCTTATCGTGAGCCTTTCTAGACCGCGTCTATTTTGGGATTTGTGATAGGCGAGACAGCGAAAAGCACATAAATTATCCTCTAATAAGGCCCCGTCGTTACTTTTAGTGTCCAGAGCGATTATTGACTTTTTTTTAATGTAGGAGGGGAGTTTTCTCGCGGCTCCTAAAATATAATTTGTTCTCGTCACTACCCATCTTATATTGGTAATGACATAAACGCTCCATTTTGAATTTGGACGCGATTTTAAGGCTGTTTGTAACAAATCTTTATTTTTTAAGTGTAAAACAAGAGAGGCAATGTCATTTTTTTTTCGAAATTTGAAAAGGTTCTTCTAAGCTACTTTCATTTCCAGAGGCATAAAAGTATCGAAGTTCGCCTTCGTTATTTCGTAAGACAATTCCGAAAGAAAAATTCAGTTTAAATGCTTGAGTTTCACTTTGATAAATTGTGAGCAATTGGTTTTCAATTTCCTCATAGCTTAAATTAAAATTCTGTAATGCAAAATTATACTCTTTTTGGATTATGCCTTCTTGGTGTTTCCTATTGATTAATTTATTATATATTTTTTTAAAAGTTTTTATAAAGCAGGGTCGTAGTCTAAGTCTTCATCTGTAGAACCAGAGTCCTGTGATGCAGAAGAGGGTCCGGGGTCAGAGGAGGTAGAGGGAGCATTATTTACTAAATGAGAAGAATCGTGAGATGAAGAGGTTGAAGGGAGATTATCTAAAAATGGAAATTCTGAATGTGGTGAGACAGATGAAGGTCCGGGGTTAGAGGGGGGATTACTTAATCTATGACTATGTAATTTAGGGGCTTTACGAGTTGTGCCGGCTGGTTCTCCTAGGAGAGAAAAAAATTGAACATTACAAAAATAAATGTATTGTAAAAAAAAAAAAAACACTATCAGATACCTGTTTTCTGATAAAATACGTAATGATGGGGGGGGGGGGGGGGGGGGGGAATCAGCTTACATTCTTACTTTGTTCTAAGGGTTTTGCCTTCTTTCCTTTTCCCTTTCCTTTCCTTTTTCTCTGTTTCATTGGAGGGCTAAAAACAATTTTATAATGAAAATAACTGATCACCGTTCTCTGACTCGCTTTCTGCATCCTGGCGACCCTCACTGGTCCCAGTTTCTGAGCTCTAATTAATGAAACATATAATCAAGTATTAAACAGAAGGGAGAGAATAGAAATAAGAATTTTTTCTTTCTTCTTTTGCGTTTATGCGTATCGTAGTTGGTTCCATTTTGTTTTAAAGAAATGTACGTACATGTTCACCGTTCTCCGTTTCGTTTGCTGCACTCTGGTGACCCTCAGTGGTCCCAGATTCTGAGCTCTAATTAATAAAACATATAATCAAGCATTAAACAGAAGGGAGGAAAAAAAAGGAAATAAGGTTATAATTATTATTATTATTTTTTCATGTTTATACGCACCGTGGAAGGAGCCATATTCTTTAATCTCTATTGCTAAACAAAATATTTAAAATTGATCGTAAGAGATAAATTATACAAAAGAATATTAATTAACTTTATCCGTTTTAGTTTATTCTTTAAGATATATTAAACTACACTAGTATGAAGGTCCTTACTGTTTGTTTCTCTTTGGCTTTCGCCAGCCGCCTTGCTCTCTATAAAGGAAAACAATTATTTACTTTCGCAGTAATTTCTTTTGTTGTTCTATAGGGATGTTTTTTCTTTTAATCTTATTTGTTACCTTTGAATTTTTCCTATTAATAAAGTAATATGATCTTACCTCCTGCTCTCGTTCAATATACGCCTTTTCCAGGCGTTCTATATCCTTCATAACGTGCTCAGGATAATTCACATCAAAATCATCCCATTCGTGTTCCATGGTGATGACTGATGACCTTACAATTTTAAATGTATTTATAAGGGGTTTACATATACTTTTGACCATCGCATCCTGTTCTAATGTTATTTTTATGACCATATGATGTCGTGATGTGAAGAATCTTGGGAATATTTTCGAGATGACCGTTGATCATAATTGGTATTTTTTAGATTCTATTAGCTCTGACAGAACTGTTTTAAACAATGACAGAACTGTCTTAAACAAGTTTAAGATTAAGATGAGATTTGTGTTGAGTGGTGTTTCTTCTTTTATTTAGTATTATTAGGTCACCTTCGAAATTTGTTTATTTGCTCGTTAAACTACTTTTTTGTTAGGTCATGCTGAGCGTGTAAGACTCTTCTTGTTGGTACACTTTGAGCGTGACCATGAATGTAGTAGAGTGCGACTTAAATCTTCTCTCGTCTACATTCCGGCGCGCAGGTATAGCGTGACTTCCTTTACAGTCTCCGTCCGAAAACTCGTTCCCAGGTTGGTGTTTTCTTTTATGTAAAACCTCATTAATTAAGACTCATATAGTGATGCAGAGTATTAAGCTGTGGTGTATAGTGAAAGTAAAAACGAGGTGTATAGAGAGAATCAGGTGTATAGGGTTATATGGTGAAAGCTACCTGAGGTTTATGGTGAAAGTGAAAATGAGGTGTATAAATGAGGTGTATAGTGGAAATGGGGTCTATAGACGTGGCGTGAAATGTTACATGAATTACTACTAGCAGGTATACATACATTGATGAACTAGTCTTGGAGCAGAAAGAAAGTTAGAAGAATGGCATACCCCTAATATGTATCCCACTTTTAGTGATCATACACATGTTGTTTATACTGAATCATCACAGACTGGGTGACACAGCCAAGTCTCAGCAATTTGCACAAGCACTACAGACTCTGCTTCTCTCTGACGAAGGGGTTTATATACCGGCTAGGGTCAGAGATATTTCATGGCAAATACTTGGCATCTGCCAACAAACTTATGGGGACTATGTAGGATGCCTAGAGACTTATAAATATTCTTTACAACAAAAACAACACCACAAGATTAAAAATGCGACACTGTTAAGAACCTTCAAACTTGCTGATTGAGTTATCTACATTTGTTATGCACAGATCATGTTTAATTTTGTTGACTACTATTTTTTCTCTGTTATTATTCATTTCTAACTTCTATTTTCAGTGGATAACATTGTTTATGTTTTTTAGCTCTACTGGTCAGAGACCAGAAGAGCTTATGCAATAGTAAGGTGTCCGGCGTCCGTCCGTCTGTCTGTAAACAGTTTTTCAAAATGCTACTCCTACAGTTTTGGTCTGATTTCAATATAACTTGGCACACAAGTAGACTACACTAAGATACATTATCTAGTGCATCGGTTTTTGATTTGGATGAGCGGTGTTGCCATGGTTACTAAAAATAGAAATTTCTGTGAAATTCCTTTAAAACGCTACTCCTCCTACAGTTCTGGTCTGATTTCAATATAACTTGGCACACAAGTAGACCACACTAAGATACATAATCAGGTGCATCGGTTTTTGGTTTGGATGAGCGGTGTTGCCATGGTTACTAAAAATAGAAATTTCTGTGAAATTCCTTTAAAACGCTACTCCTCCTACAGTTTTGGTCCGATTTCAATATAACTTGGCACACAAGTAGACTAAGATACATAATTTAGTGCATCGTTTCTTGATTTGGATGAACAGGTTGCCATGGTTACTAAAAATAGAAATTTCTGTGAAATTCCTTTAAAACGCTACTCCTCCTACAGTTTTGGTCTGATTTCAATATAACTTGGCACACAAGTAAACTACACTAAGATACATAATTTAGTGCATCGGTTCTTGATTTCGATGAACAGTGTTGCCATGGTTACTAAAAATAGAAATTTCTGTGAAATTCCTTTAAAACCCTACTCCTCCTACAGTTTTGGTCTGATTTCAATATGACTGTGTCTGATTTCAATATGGTTTGGCATACAAGTAGACTCTATTAAAATACATAATTTAGTGCATCAGTTTTTGATTTGGATGAACGTAGTGCCATGGTTACTAAAAATAGAAATTTCTGTGAAATTCCTTTAAAACCCTACTCCTCCTACAGTTTTGGTCTGATTTCAATATAACTTGGCACACAAGTATACTACACTAAGATACATAATTCAGTGCTTTTTGATTTCGATGAACAGTGTTGCCATGGTTACTAAAAATAGAAATTTCTGTGAATTTCTTTTAAAACGCTACTACTCCTACAGTTTTTATTTGATCTCAATTTTTAAAACGGTATTCCTCCTACAGTTTTATTTGATTTCAATTGAACTTGGCACACAAGTAGACTATATTAAGATACATAATTCTATTTATTGCTGCATGTTGCAAAGTTTCAAATCCAAGTGCTACGTTTTCTTTGTTACATGTATATGTACAGACCAGTAGAGCTACAGTCTCATTAGAGACTTCTGGTTTATTTATTTATTTTTTTTGTTTTGGTCTCCTGCATATTTTATTATTTTATAACCAGACTTGTTTACTGTAGATCACTTTTCATTCTCGAGAAAATTTATTTTCGCGTAATTACGCGAAGTCGTCTGCTCGCGAAAATTCTTGCTTAAAATTGTATTATTACAAATTATGTAGAACGAAAACCAGAATTCGTGAAAATGTTGTCTCGTTTATATTACTATCTCATGAAAATAAGGTGTCGCGAAATGTTAGTTATCTACAGTATATTAGTTATTTTAAGTACGTGAGCGAAATTCCTGATGTTTGAAAATGCATTGCGGAGTTTTTATTTTCCTTCAAAAGGTACCGAGATAGGACATGGAAATGATGGTTCATACAGTGTACAGTCTCTTCATAAAGACTCGGATCTCGATGGCCTTTTCTCTCTCTTTACATCAAGGATACACATTTAGAAAAAAAAAAAGCATTGTCATGACTTGTTAAGTTCAATTTTAGTATTATTTATCATTTCAATGTACTTTTTTAGGCCACCTTAGTTTACTCAGGTGACCTATTGCTATATGTTTTCGTCCGTCGTCCATCGTGCGTCGTACGTTAACATTTAAACATTTTCAGCTTCTCTGAAACCACTGAACCAATTTTGACATATAGCATCTATGAGTGAAGGGGAGTAAAAATTGTAAATTTCATGCCCCCTGCCCCCCTGGGGCCTGAGGGGTGGAACTAAACCCATCAAAATAAATGCAAATCTTTAAAAGCCTTAAGCCTTTACTCCTGGACATCAAGCGTTCAAACTGTTGGCATGATTGTAATCAGCATTGAGCCCTGTACCAAAATTGTGAAATTCATGGACCCATGGTCAGGGGTTCTGGTGTTAGGGCGGGGCTCTAATGATTATATAATGAAAATACATTAACTATTTGAAAATCTTCTCCTCTGCTCCTGGGTATCAAACCAATGACCTATGTACATAGTTATGATAAGAAAGGATGCCCAATTTAAAATTGGGAATTACATGCCCCCCCCCCCCCCCCGGGTCAGGGGTTCTGGTGTAAGGGTGAGGCCCTTATGATTATATAGTTAAAATGCATGTATTGTTTGGAAATCTTCTCCTTTGTTCCTTGGTATTAAACAAATTAACTTTGAACATAATTATGATCAGGAAGATGGGTGCCTCTTCCAAAATTGTGAATTTCATGACCCCTGGGTCAGGGTTCTGGTGTAAGGGCGGGGCTCTAATGATTATATTTTGAATCTGCATGAATTGTTTGAAAATCTCCTCCTCTGCTCCTGGGTATTATGCTGATGATTTATATAGTTATGATGAACAAGGATCCTTATTCGAGAATTGTGAATGTTAAAGCCTCTGTGTCAGGGGAAGAGAGGGTTGGGGGCTCTAATGAATATATACTGAGAACGAATTAATGCTTTGAAATCTGCTCCTTGGTATTAATCAAACATTTATAATGAGCAAGGGAGGCTTTTCCAAAATTGTGAAATGTGTTGCCCCAGGGTCATGGGTTCCTTTGGGGTGGAGGCTCTACTGATTATTGCTGATTATTACTGATTAATGGAAATGCATTTCTTCTTTGTTCCCATACTCTGCCTCTGTGTATTAAGTAATCAAACTTGAAGCATGCTACGTGTATAGTTATGCTGAACAATGGTGCCTCTTTCAAAATTGAGAATTTCATGGCCTCTGGTTTAAAACAAAAAACAAATTCAATTGTTGGAAAGTTGTTACATGATACTCAGGTGAACTATAAGGCCCTTGGGCCTCTTGGTGTAAAAATGATTTTTCAATACAATAATTATAATTTTCTTAAAAGTATGAATGTACAATACGCAAATTTATTTTGAAAGTAGATCTTGTTTGAGATTTTCGATCCTTAAAAAATCCGCCTAAATATGGCTGAGATGTTGCCGATTCGGCGTTAAACAATGACAATCAATGAATATCTAAGAGATGCTAGATGATAAAAAGTAGACAGATCTGTGAGATTTAAAGTTACAATAAAGTTACAAGAGGAAATAATACTTGGATCCTTATTAAGGCTTATTTTTAACATAGCTTTATATTGTTTAGAGAGGAGAATTATTACATGTTCGACTTTGAGATTAGGAATATCCAGTATATCATATAATGTATCTTCATTATTGCTTTGTCAGACTTTAAATTGTTATTATTTTGTCATTTAAATGTCGACATTAATAAACAGAATGCTAATAAAATGTGTTACTTTTTTAATGTTGAATTTCTTAATTCATTCACCTGAAAACTGTACTACTTGGAGGACTAGTCTCTCTACATATCAAAACCATATCTTTCATATGAGTTCTCCGGCGCTTTTGTATCGAAGCGCAGTTTTCATATACGCAGTTTTCATATTTCTTCTTTTTGGGAAAACAATTTCTGAACAGTTTTCAGCTTAGTGCAGTGGCCATGGATTTGCTTCCTTTCCATGTGTTTTTAGGTGACCAGGAGTTCTATAGTAGAACTTCTCGACTATGAAAAAATAAAATTAAATGCTTCT